CCAAACAGCAACCACAAAAATCCAAAGTCTTCTTCAATAGAAATCAATATGTTTTAATGTGTCCACTTGGTTTTTAGATGACAAATTGGTTTCTCAGTTGGAAATATTGATCTGGTAACTAGGTAATGTTTGAGTTGTGTTATGACCAGCTCTATGCCCACAGGGAAAGCATGAAGCTTTTTCTTTTGACTTCCAGCCTGGATGGGTTCCTACCCATCCAGTCCTCAGGCTTTCTTCCCTCAACTGGGGCACTCTTTGCATTTGGGGTAGGGGAAATCTGATACCAGGTACTCTGTATTCTCTTCACCCTGAAAATCAAAAGGCGATGTAGAACTAGCAGCATCATGTCCTATTCTGGATTCCTGCCGATTGCTTGGGAATTCTTTTATTTATGGATATTTATTGGGGGGACCTACTCCAGGCCAGGCATTGTTCTTGAATTTCAGGGCAAAAGCAAACTTTGGTACTCATGACTGCACAGGATTCATGATATATAACATATAATACACTGAAGACTTCATTTAACAAAAATCATTTATATATTGTTCATTCTAGGTTTTCTCCCCACTCTACTTTCTGTATAATTTCTGAAGACAAAACAAAAATCAAAAATGAAAAAACTTAGATTTAACTTGGAAATACTTGTCACACCAGGCCTCTGCTTTCTTTCACATTTCAAGTACTATATTTAGACAGACCTTGGCTTTTTTCTTTTATGACTGTTTCTTTTACGTTGTTTGTTTATGGATTTGAGCCTCCTGATTACATCCCCTCTTTAGTAAACGAACAAGAAAATGAAAGTGCCACCTGCTTGCTACCACAATAGCTCTGTTTGCATATCTAGGTTTCAGTAGTTTATTTGCAAGGATGATGCTTTGTTCTATTAAATTGGAGTCTCTGGGTTTTTTTTTTTCTCACAGATGTTAATCACCATCACTCTGTTACTTAAGAGGCTTTGTCTAGGTAATTAAAGATCTCTTCAAATCATGCTTTAATATAAAGTCTTAAATGAGTCATGCAGTGAACTTTGGTCTTCTAAGTATCATGGGGTCTGTTTTAATGAGCAAAATTATTTTTAATACATTTTAAAAATGCAAAAGCAAAATCTGGTTATATATTCCTGATGTAGCTATATTTAAATAGCATTAGGCTTATTAGGTAATGAGAATAATTTACAAAAACAATTGCAAAACTCAAACTTTGGGTTAAAAAAACAGGAAGGACACCCACCCCCCACCCCGAAAAACTCTCCGAAGAGAAAAAATTCATTAAAAGAAAAACAGTGTATTTATTGCTGTTTATATAACATCTTTTTTTAAAAAAATAGACATCTGGATTTCACCCCTACTTTTTTTATGTTTTAAAGAATTTATTCAATTTGTGGATTAAAATGTTTATTTTAAAGGAAATTATTTTCTTAATATAATAGTTGTTCCATTAATATTCTAGTAATGAGACCTTATATGTATTTCAACTAAGAACTAACGGCAGTTAAAAATAATCAGAATTAACTATGAAATTAATTATATCCTGCTGTATGCTATACAATAGAAGGTAAACATATTGATCCAGAGTTAAAACAATAACTCAGAAAAGCAATCTTTTGGAAGTCAACATACTAGACTGGAACCAGACAGACCAGAATCTGAAAATAAGTTTTAAGTTTTGTGAAAGAGTGACCTTGTTTTTATTACCCTCTCTAAGCTACAGGTTATTCATGTGTAAAGTGTGGATAATAGTACCTGAGTCATAATTGTTGGAAGAATTAATATGTGTGAAGCACACAGTCCACAGTATCCCATGAGTGTTAGCAGCAGCTGCATCACCGTTGCCGTCATCATCATCATCATCATCATCATCGCCATTAAAGAAAGTAGCAGCCAAATAGGTCTAAAGACCTAGTTAGAGGCAAAAATTTATTGACTACATAAAAAATTTTGTCCACTAACCAGGTATTTCTCTGCTATCAATAGTTAAATGGAATTTTTAGCATTACCCATGGCGCAGAGATGTTCATAACGGCAAAATCAAAGCACTTGCTACAAAGTACCAAAGCGCTTTTGGAACTTAAAAAAAGAAAGAAGTCAAATTACAGTCGGTTTAATAGTCATAATATCACTGTTTTAATTGGAACTAATCACTTGAGTATTAGTGATTTATGTATAATGGAAGTTGCAGAATACTGGTCTGTGATTCATCCAGTCTGCAGATATAATTGCTTTGGCCTAACTAGTGTTGGCATATACAAAACTGAAGTGACCAAGATTAGAGAACAGGATTCAGATCTAAGTTAGCCTGCTTCCAAAAGCTTCTATTATGCCATGCTGTCTCTTGGACTCTCTTCCATGCAATATATGTATTACATAAGTAATAATCTATATGATAATTATTATAATCATATATAATAATATTTATTGGATATCCATTGCATGGTTGTTTCTATCATATAAAATGTGTCTGCCTGTCTATCAGTCTGTAGATCTGTCTGTATGTATATAGGACTGTCCTGGAAATGATTCTCTCCAGATCTCTTATTCTTTTCACACTGGTCTCTGCATTGGTAGGCTGGTTTGTAAGGATTATATCAATGGACTCCCTCATCCACTGACTTCTAGATAGGGTACATCAGCAGGAGATGAGAGAGAGGGGACAGTAAGACTTTGGAGCATTTCTTTCCCATATCCTTCCCTAAAGTGGTCATTGTGAGAGAAAGTGGGCTATAGCCCTTGACCAGAGTTAAGAAGGGTAAGGCCCTTGTTCCTGTTAGGGAATGGCATCACTGTGATTTCCTGGCATCCTCTCCAGCCCTTTGTAAATAGTCTTGTTATTAAGATCTCTTCAAATTACCCAGTGTCTCATGTTGCTTGTCCTGACCTTGTGACTGATAACAGTTCTTAATAGAAATACCGTAATGGATTGTGTAATTAATAAATTAATTTCCCTCCCAGCCTTAGTATCCTCTTTCTTCTGGTGAACTTCCTTCTTCTGTTAAGATTGTAACATGTATGCCCATTCCATACTGTCTCACCACCCCAGGGCCATGGTGGGCCAATTGTATTAATACCATCGCAATCACCACCACCCCCAAATAATGATTAGTTCATGTGGTGAAGCTGTAATTTAAGCCGGATGATCAAGATTCTTCACCCAGAACTTCCCAAATTAGAGGTAGAGGTGGCCGTCTTCTTCTTGAATTGAGGACTGTTGAATGTAACAGTGGGGTTCTCTGAGGCCATCCTCTCTATTCCCTTTAGAATGTTCTGCAGAATGGAGCTCAGCAGAGGCAACTAGGAATGAATGAGAGGAAGGTGACACAGAGTCACTGTGCCCAGTTTCAAACTCTGAGCTGTCAGTTCCCACAGCTCTCTTCTACAATTACCTTCACCATTATGTGAACAAATATACTGAATTTTTTTGCCCTTGAACTTATTGGAGTTTTTGTCACATGCAACTAAAAAAAAAAAAAGTACTGATTAAAACAATGGCAAAAACTTTGCAAACTGTTATGTTTCTAATATTTGAATCCAGTTGTTTCAAAGAATCCAGAATTCAGCAATGCTGGCAAGAAATGCACTAGAAAAGTCCTGATCTCTATATACATCAAAATCAATAGGACTTTTTATTACCAGGAGCCACTAGTAAGCCTCTACTGAAATTCAGTTTGCTTCAGGGCATATTTTGGACATATTCCTGGTTCAGATTATTTCCCAGAGAGAAAAATAACTAGATTGGGAGAGGGAGAGTGATAATGGGTGTGCAAAGAAAGAACTTTCATTTCTTCTCATTTGTAAAGTTTATTTATTTTGAGAGAGAGAGCTTGTGCATGTGTGCGTGCAGTGGGGGAGGGGCAGAGAGAGGGGGAGAGAGAGAATGTCAAGGAGGCTCTGCACTGTCAACGTTAGATCATGAACTGAGCCAAAATCAAGAGTCAGTCATTCCACCGACTGAGTCACCCAGGTGCCCCCTTTCTCATTTTTAAATTAGCCAGTATAGTTAAGTAACAATGATTAATAATAGTGTTTTGGTTTTACAACCCACTATGGGATTTTATTTTATTTTATTTTTTATTAAAGACAGCCTCAATGAATATTAGGTAGAATAATAGAAGAACATTTATTTTTCCTAAATAGAATAACTTGCCTCCACAGGTGCAACATTGTGTGGCTTTAAGAAAAGTACTAAGGCAGCACAAAAGATACATGGGGTGTATATTCCATTACAATTATTTGCTATGTACTAACAATCCTAGTCACCCACTTCCCTGGCAGAGCCATTGTGAGGTTAACAAAGACTTTGAAAAGATAGGAAATGGTTTATAAATATTAATAATAGTTTACCTTCCTACGTTTAGAAGTAGTAAGCCAACACTACTTGCCACTTTTTGTTGAGCATATCAAAGCACAGCTTTTCACTAAAATTCTAAGTTTAGTTTTAGAGCATTTATATCATTACTGGTGAAGTGGTTCTCTTGCCAAGAACTTGGGACTCTGAAATAAGAGTTTACAAAATTAACAATGAACGGGGGCGTCTGGGTGGCTCACTTGGTTAGGCGTCCCAGTCATGGGCTCTGGTCCTGTGTCTGGCTCTGCACTCAGCATGGAGCCTGCTTGCGATTCTCTCTCTGTGCCTCCCCAACTTGCTCATGCACACGCTCACTCTCTCTCTCTCTCTCTCAAGATAAATAAACATTAAAAAAAAGACTAACATCAGATATCATTGAAACACCATAACAGAAAAGGAAAGATCAAGAAATGACCCCAAAGGAGGGTCAGAGAACATTGGAAACCTATTCTGTAAGGAGAGGATGGGCAAGGAAGACACCTAAATCCAAGTTGTCCTCAATTTATCACCTGCTGTTTCTACTGTCAAAATGGATATTGGTGACCTCATTCAGAACTTAGAAGAAAATATATCTAGGGAAAGACTGTTAAAGATGGTGATTAGGGGTGGCTGGAGCTTGAGGCCGCAGGGCTGTAGACGCACAGACCCAGGACCCAGAGCAGCTCGGAGGCGGTGAATAATAGCTCAAGTCTGCAATAAAAAATGGCCTCCAATAAAACTACCCTGCAAAAAATGGGAAAGAAACAGAATGGAAAGAGTAAAAAAGTAGAAGAGGCAGAGCCTGAAGAATTTGTGGTGGAGAAAGTACCAAACCGACATGTAGTGAATGGGAAGGTGGAGTATTTCTTAAAGTGGAAGGGATTTACAGATGCTGACAATACTTGGGAACCTAAAGAAAATTTAGATTATCCAGAGTTAATTGAAGCATTTGTTAATTCTCAAAAAGCTGGTAAAGAAAAAGATGGTGCCAAAAGAAAATTTTTATCTGACAGTGAATCTGATGATAGCAAATCCAAGAAAAGAGATGCTGCTGATAAACCAAGAGCCTTTGCCAGAGGTCTTGATCCTGAACAAATAATTGATGCCACAGACAGCAGTGGAGAATTAATGTTTCTCATGAAATGGAAAGATTCAGATGAGGCCGACTTGGTGCTGGCAAAAGAGACAAATATGAAGTGTCCTCAGATTGTAATTGCTTTTTATTAAGAGAGACTAACTTGGCATTCTTGTCCAGAAGATGAAGCTCTTATATATATATAAGGGTCTTGGTTTTTTTTATTTATTAGTGTGAAGAAATAACATTCTAATGAAAATCAAGTTTGATATGTTTGTTTTGAAGTAGTATTGGGGGAGTAGTATGGGGTTTTTGCATCTATAGCACTGGTTACTTTGAACAAATAAAAGCTTTCTGTAGTTGCTTCCTTTATCAGAAAAGACTATTTGAGACCATGGTATATTATTCCCCTGCTAATTTAGAGAACACCTTTTCTAAATGTTGAGGGAAATCTTCATAGTTGTTACTCAATCAGAATTTGTGTTTAGCTCCTATATGCTTAAGAACTATTCTGGGTTGTTTTGTTTATTTGGGAGATTTTTCTGTATATACTTAAAATACATGCATAAATCGTTGTCTTTTCTCTTCTTTCTTTTTTTTAAACATTCCCCAAAATAAAAACAGCCTTTTAAAACCATAGATAAGCCCATGTTTCTGGGATGCCATCATTTCCATCAACCTAAGAAATAAATCACTTAAATTGAAATTTTTCCTGACACCTTAAGCTTTCAAATTTTGTAATTAATTGAACAATTTACATATAATGGAAACAATTTAAATTGGACAATTTGAAAGCAGCCATATCAGAACCCATGTCACACAAATGCAAGTTTGTTTGCAAGATCTCTGAAAGGAAAATGTTATCACTACCAACAACCTCCCCACCCAAATGAGAAAACCAGACAAGTCCTGGTGTGTTTTAATCGGGTAAGTAAAACTTAATTAAATGGACATTTGAAGGTTCCTTCTCGTGAACCATTCCTTTTCAAGAAATTGAAATCCCTGTGCTGCATTGACTAAAAGGTCATGATTCATAGAATGTCTAAGATTTGTTCATGGAAACCTGATCATAATTATATGGTTAGAGATGTTGGCAATTTAGCACCTGCTGGAATAGATAGGGAGACAAACCTCTGTAATCTAAATTCTTGACCTGCATGTTTTTTCTTTACCCCAACTTATTACTTACATGTAGGTTCAATCTTCTCAGTATTTACTGGTTCAGCAGAAACCAGGAAAAACAATAACTTTGTAGTCAGAATGTTATCCAACTGTATATTGTTTACTTTATTGTAAATACTGGTAAACAATGATCAATAAATAGTTTTATATTCCTTTTTTAAAAAAAGATGGTGATTAGTTTTCTGGCATGCCTTGTAAGCCTACTCAATTGGTTAAGTTTCCAGCTTTGACTCAGGTCTGATTTTGTAGTTCGTGATTTCAAGCCCTGCATCTGGCTCTCTGCTGTCAACGTAGAGCCCACTTCAGATCCTCTGTCTCCCTCTCTCTTCTCTCTCTCTCTTTCTCAAAAATAAACATTTGAAATAATTCTAGTTCCCTGTTTTCCTTGAGGGAAACAGGAACATTCCAACCTGCAACCCAGGGCGCTGGAATATCTCCCAATTTCCCAAACTGCCATCCACCACAACTCCCCAGTTTGGAAAGTAGGAAAGGAATGCTCCAATTTCCTCTCCTCCTGGACCAACAGAAAAATTCCTCATGGTGACAAAAGAAAAAAGAATTCTCAGGTAACCTATGTTAACAGGAAGCGGACAGTGACTCACATATTAAGGATGTTCCTAAGTTAGTTTTTAGTCTTCAAGGCTCGGGAAGGGCCTGCATCCAGGTACTTGCTTCACCTTCTTTCATCATGAGTTTGTCATTGTTACCCTTTATGTTTGGGGTCGGTTTAATAGAAATAACTATGTTGCTTTTCAATCAGGAGAAGTGGCAGATATTTCGACTCTTCTTCCTTGTGGGCAAATCATAAAGCCTATAAACCTCAGGCTACTCCCCTCCACTAGCTCTTTGTCCTCCCTAGAGCCTTAGGGGAGAGGTCACTCTGGGCAACTTGAACTGAGGTTCCAGAAACCGTGCACAGATTCTACTAGCCACCTCACAGGATTCTCAAGCACAATCTCTTTTCCATTATTCCGGCAACAACTAAAGCCAGAAATAACTCTGATACATACACACAACATTTAAACCTCAAAAGCCTTTCCTCCTCCCACTCCCCCACAAATATTAGTGTGTAAATGAGTTAGCTAGCAGCCACTGATAACATTGTTTTTCCTGCAAAATGATTGGCTAATTACATCAATTACTGTATTCTTAGCCTATCAGACCATGCTTTGATCATCCAGAAACAAAACCGTTTCTTGGAACCAATCCATGGGACAACAAATGGGGTCTGTTGTGATTGCTCTTCCTGAAAACCATGTAGCTGGTAGTGTTCATCATCATTGACCACTGAGACTTGGCATGGATCCAGAAAGAATGGTTATAGCACATCATCAAGAGTTCTTAGGAGATGAGTTCCCACCTGGCAACTATCACTTCTAAAAACATTCCTAGCAAATAATTGCCACAAAAAAAAACTATACTCTCCTGCCTACAGAGTTATCCTTCTATTTTTCAGCGTACTGGAAATGCTGATTATATGGGTAGACATATATTTAAGTGATAAAAGTCTGTCTCTGTTTTATAGTACCCTTCCCTTCTACTGCCTTCCATTACATATTGCCATATTGAGGACAATCTAATAAGAAGAAGCAAATAAATATCTACAGAGTTGGCAAAATATTCACACATCTATCATGTGGTTGATATCAATAATTTAAGGTTCTTTCAAACCATATGTGCATCTTTACATTTGAGAACGTCCAGGGGTGCCTAGGTGGCTCAGTCGGTTAAGTGTCTGACCGGTTCAGGTCATGATCTCATGGTTTGTGGGTTTGAGCCCCACGTCAGGCTCTGTGCTGACAGCTCAGAGCCTGGAGCCTGCTTCAGATTCTGTGTCTCCTTCTCTCTCTGCCCCTCCCCTGCTCACGGTCTGTCTCTCTGTCTCTCAAAAATAAATACACATTTAAAAATTAAAGAAAAAAAGAAAAGAAAACATCCAGGGATCATCTGGCATTAAAACTTAATCACCTTTCAGAAACGTTTGTCCCATGTAAGTCAAAGCTTAGTAAACTATTAAAGCTACATATGTCTCATATGGAATTGTCAAGGTCATATCAGGCAATATGATGGTAGTATTCAAATGTACCTCAGAAAATAACTTAAAACATATTTACATTCTATCATTCATCAGTACCTATATTACCTTTGAATCAAATACTTGCTGACTGTTGATGTTTATTATGCAGAAAGTTTTCCTGACTCCCCTGTATTCACAGTGTTATAAGTGTACTCATGCTTACACTGTGGTTTTAAACAATTTGATAGTACAAACTGTTGCAGATTTTTATCTCTAATGGTTCTCTCTTTCTCACAGTTTTGATACAAACATTCTGTTTATGGTAGGGCATGGTAATTCAGGTTAGGGGCAGATTGTAACAAGAACCATCTGTCCTTTTCCCCCATCTGAGTCCTTCTGTCATGATTAATTGTTGTTAGAAAAACAAAAAAAGCGTACCACCTCTTTGCTGGTGTCTTGCAAGAGGTTAGCAGTCATTGTCTTCTCTTAGAGTAATGGTGCTTAAAATATTACAGCCTTTGTTCTCTGTGGCACTATACACATGATCTGCTAGTGTGGTTCCAAAGCCTGTGAGAAACAGGTGGAAGCCACTCTTGTGAATGTCAGAGTCTAATAAAATGGAGACAAAATTTAAAATGTTAGTCAAGAATGTTCCTCTTTGTATTAAGTATCTCAGCTGTCTGCCTCATAGGGATGAAAAAACAACTGAGGGGAAAAAATATACATATCATGTTTACACTGATAAAAATGAGCTCCTAAAAAGTATAGGAAAATTCCTGGTCCTGCATCAAGGTGTATCAATGATAGAAAATAAGTTAAAAACATAAATCTACATTTCCTAAAGACCTCTGCCATTGCTTAAGTTCAAAAGTATCCCAAGAGAAAGTGAAAGGAGCCAGAGCCGGATGCAATTTTTTTATTTAATTTTTTATTAGAAGGAAATGCATTCTAGGAGGGACCAACATGGGGAGTTAATCTAGGAGATGAAAAGTCTGTTCAGAGGTGCTATTTTATGAGCCCAGAGAGGCTGCCAAAGGATCTACTTCAGCTCAAGTAGAAAAGTCACAAAGTTGTGTTACAATCCTGAGAAATACTGCCCAGATATTTATTCAACCAGTATTTATTAAATGACTTCTATGTATCCAAAATTGGATATAGAGAAGGGAGAATAAGATGCAAAATTGATAGAAGAGAAGATATTCTTGCTGTTGTTTTTTATCATCAAGGAGCTTTAATCTATTGGGAAACTGAGACATTAAACCCAGGACGACCAAGAAATGGAGACATCCTCCAGTGATGTGATTTGGGGAGCCACAAAGGCTCTGTCTTTCCTATAATATCCTTTCCCTTGTCTGCCAATTTTTCTGAAGTCCTCCCTATTAGAACTTTTCAAGTTCAGGATTTTTGTCCAGGAGAAGGTGAGGAACAGACACAGACACAGAGCCCTATGAAGCCCCTGTGACAACATAACTATGTTACTCAAGAGGGCTTATACACTTTTCAAATAACATTTCAGTCTTGGCAAAGTGCAAAACAAGGTCCTGAGTACTGAGATCTAAGATAAGAAGCAAAAATATAGGTAAGGAAAGAAAAATAGAATGGTCCAGAATACGCTGTGGGAAGTAGCTAAGGGGAATTATGAAATTGATAAAGTGAGTTCAAACTAGACATCCATAATATATAGAGGCATTTCAATGACAGTGTGATAAAGCTAGGCTTTTACTTATGAGGAATGAAAAGCTAAGAGAGGTAACTATGTAGAAGAAAATATGTTAGTAACCTGGCAGGAGTCTTCAGACTGGGTCAGAAGAGATGGAGACTGAGATCAGGGAGATCAGTAAAAAGACTATTGACTTTTTCAGGAATATAGAGACAAAATACTTGAATTGAGCGAAGGTATAATTAGAATAAATTATTAGTCTCAATAAATATAAGGGGCTGTAGTAACAGATTGTATATGAGAATTGAGGAAAAGAGGGGTAACAACT